AAATTATTTTGAGAAACAGTGACGATTTTCATCTATAATTCTTAGTACATTCTTTCAAAAGTACCTATTGCAGATTTAAACTATGAAATCTAATATAATCTTCCATTGAATTCAATTTGAAAATCTTTCAAAGAATTACGTCCTAGTTCAGCGAATTAGTTTCTTGATATGGATATTGCCATTCCAAAATTTAGTAATTTCAATGTTTCAATTTTCAGAGAAGTTAAAAATTTTATGGACAAGGTGAAACCAAAACGCCCAAATTTTATTGAAAGGTTCTAAGTACATCACAAGTTAATAAATAGTTTCATATAAGTATGTGCCCGAAAACCCTTTATTTACGAGATACAGAATCTTGAATATTCTTGAAGGTATTAAACTAATAGGCTTCTTGCACATGCCGGATTTTTTATATTAGTTCACATATTTAAATATGGCCTTATTTAAAATTATTAATTATAAAATGTTTTGTGAAAACTTTTACTCGAAAATTGACTAAATCGTACGTTGAAATTTGGAGATGAGCATCCTGTAGGGGCGTGTCGTAGAACGAGTTGCTATTGGTGCGACGTCATCGGTAAGTAAACTGGCCGCTTCACATTAGAAAACGATGTCGGTCCTATTACTTCTTAAAAACATTTATTATTTTTAGTTTACATACGATACGATAACGATACTGATGCGCTGTTATATTTATTGCTTTCCATTCTATTATGTAGGTATACCTAAATATGCACCTATGTAGCAAAATAATTAAGTCTGTGTAGGTATAATATTTTAGTTCAAGTAAGCTTTCCTCGGGTAGCATAATATTATTTACTACCAAAATAATATTCTGAATCTAAATTTGTTATTTTAAATAATCATAATTAGTTTGTAGTTTTTTAAAAATTCTTAGTAATGTTTGTAACATGACCGAACAAGGTTATGCTAAAGCCCAATCAGACAATTTACCGAATTCCATGATGATTGCGAAGTTTTTTCGAAAAGCATTTTATTTTATTCGGCAGAAATAAGGGGAATAAAAGCAAACAGGTATGAAAATGTGATTTATAGATACTTATCTGTATAAATTTATTTTAAAATACATTTTTTTCTGGCGATTTTACTAATGTATTTTCACACATCGTTACAATGCACCAGTAATAGTATTAGACTAGGCGGTATCTGTTTTGGTTTGGGTGAATCGTATATCCATGGAGATTATTGGCTTTTTGGCTTTCAAATATCACTAGAAATGAAAATTTTTCTATGCTCTCCTAATTGACGGATTCGAATTTTTCAAAAAGCGTTTGAAAGCTTGAGAGCCCTTCTACAAGTGATTAAATTTTCAAGTATCTAACTGCCTTGATTTTTGCTGTGCAAAATTTTGAAAATTTGCAAATTTTTTTTCAAAATCTGGATTGCAAAATTATTATGCAAAATCTATCTAACCGATTTTGATGAAATTTGGTGTCATGATTCTACATAACATGAAGTTTTCTTGAGCCAAGTATGAAAGTCCCAACCCAATTTAAAGACATCAGAAGTAATGTTTTTTAACCCCACATTTGGCTATTTTTTCGATTTTTACAATAATAATCATGATTCATTCAATTTGTAACTAGTCATATTTTGTAAAAAACTTAATTACAAACATTTTTTTCCTCTTCCATTTTCGCCTAAAATGAACTTTAAAAGATACATAATAGGAAGAAAAATATGACAATTTTCGAATTTTTTTAACACATTGTGCCGCCAAAAGTTAAGCCCACGTTTTTTATGCGAAAAATTTTAATTTCTAGTGATATTTGAAAGCCAAAAAGCCAAAAATCTCCGTGGATATACGATTTATCCAAATATGGATATTTTTGAAATAGATGCTGTCTGGACTTTATGATTTAGAGGGATTTGCTATAGTTATTATAAGTTTAACTTCACAAATTTATAGTATATATAAGGTATCGTACTGCTTATTGACTCCACTCCACACATTTAATAACTAAAGCAGTCAGCTGCACTGTCGAAACGCGTTATTGTATATGTCGCGCTTGCCATTTACTTACCGATTTTACCTTTTAAAAATAAATTAATATAACAAAACCTTTAGTACCTTTGTTTGTAGTATTCAGTGTAGATACAAAAACTATTCAAATATTTTTTTCTGCAAGAGGCCATTCAAATAAAATATCTTATCAAATGAAGTCAAACGATGTTCTTCTAGGTATACCAAATATATCTAAATCTATAGACAAGATTGTTAACTGTTGACATTGCGAGAAAATACTATGCGGGCAGCCATAACAAATCACTACGCTCTAGGATAAGTGTAACCATTTAATTAAATGCGTATGGATATAACGGAACACCGCACATAATAACGCACCAGAGCCTCGCGCTTATTATTTTCGGACTCTCGCGCAGCTCACGATGGACGAAAAAAAGCTAGAAAGTGAGGGTTGCCTCTTATATTTCGGGAATGGATGATCCTGGTGCTGCCATCTGACACCCGACTTGCCTATCGTAAAGTTCGACTTTGTGTCGGTTTTGACGTACAGGCGCTATTTGTGTTGTTTACAGTGACTTGAAGAATCTCGACCCGGCTAAAAATGGAATTAAATCGTGATTATGTCTACAAAAGTGCATCGATCAACTTAATTCGACTTTTGTCGATGAAGCACCATCAAAAACTACTGTATATCGATGGTATCGCTAACTGACCAATTTCGTGAATGTTGTCCAATATCGTTGTTGTTCCAGAAAAACACTGATGCTGTGCACTGATACTGCAAGATCGTTATGTGACTTATCGTGAGATAGGACATTAGTACATTCAATATTGCATGAACGTTTGGCCGAACAAAAAACTTTGTCCGCGTTGGATCCCACATCATTTAACAAATGTTCAATCGTGTCGATTGGTCGAAGGAAATGATCAAGAAATAATGCGACGTCAAACGGTCAATTCTGAATAATACACAACCATTTGTTTGCCAGAAATCTTTGGCAAAAGAAGAGTAACCAACCGTCCAAGAAGCATCATTCTCCCGCAGGACAATGCGAACTCTCACACATGGGCATAATAGTCTTTTTGATAATTGATGAGTCATCCGCGGTACAGCCCTGATTTGACGCCCAATAACATATTTTTATTCCCGCACATCAAAAATAAATTACGAGGTCAACGTATTTTGTAGCCTGGAGAAGCGGTTGATGCGTTCAAAATTCATGTTTTGGAGGTACCTCAATCGAATTGAAATAAGTGCTTCGAAAATTGGTTCACGCACATGCAAAAATGTATTGATCTTCATGGAGAATGTTTTGAAAAACAATAAAGCCTTATACGATGATTCATTTCTTTTTCGTTATCTTTTTAGAAAGAAAAGATATTTTAAAAAGTTGTGGCATGTGTAAAGAATTAAATCGTCTCAACCGTTTTCTTGAAAGTAAAAAATCTTGAATTTTCTAGATAACAAAGCATTTCTGGACACATGTTTAGAAAAACTCTTTATAACTAGTGACAGAATCCACTATTAAGTTCAGACAAAGATTTTAATTACAATTTGTATATCTGTATATATGTTAGCAATTTTTTAACTCACACAGGAAGTTTATCATAAACCAAAGAGTTAAATTTTATTTTACTAAAACGTTAAAATAAATAAGAACGTGAGATAAAATAAAAAAAAATTGTTCCATAATATATTAATCTCATTGTCATGTAAACTCACCATATTACATATTTTCACAATTTCCCATTTTCAATTGATGTGCAGGCGAGGTGGACTTCCCATTCTCAAGTAAGTGACAATAAATAAGCTTACTTATCAGGTGCTCAACAAAAAATGGGGAACATTTGCCACAGGATCACTAAACCAATCATAAGAAATCTTTCTTTTAGCTTATCTGTTTACACTCTGTCTACACGATTATCTTTTCACTTTTGTCTCACTTCTCCTCCCTAGACTTCTATAAATTTGATTTTTTCAATGTTTTTGCGCATGTTCTAGAATTATGCATGGTTAAATGTTGTCACGTGGAAACTTGTAAAGCATATTGTTTGCATGCAAATTATGTATTTCTTCTTAGTATTGAAATTTTAGTATATCAAAAACGTCATAGTAATTAAAAAAACTGTATGCTACATATTATTGTACTATTAGCAAGAATGTTCAAAAAAATATTGTCACGATTATTTTTAATAAAAACTAAAATTTAAATTTATCTAAAGGATTCGTTAATTTATAACAATTTTGAAAAGTTTGTGCTGTCATGTCGAAAACGTCAGACATAGAGAAACGACTAAATTGTGCAATTATGACCCGGAGCTATTAGTTTGGAAGATTTTTGTCTATTTCCGGGTTTGTGTGAAGATCTTTACTGAAATGGAAAACATTTTTCAAAATTATTTCTGCTTCTGTATTCGAATAATGTGCAATCAGACTTCAAACGTACATTTCATTTTTCAGCAACCTACAGAAATTTTGGGGCCATTATTTTCCTCATTCTTTCAGAACAACAAAAATATGATACCGATGATGATTTTTCTAACTAAACAACGTTTGGATCTAGAAATGAATGAAGAATCCAATTAAATACATATTTTTAAATAATTAATTTTTTTAAATGAGGCTAATGCCTAATGGTTACTGAAAGATGAAACATTGCACCACACATCTGATTTTATAGTGGAAAAGAAAAGCGGAAATAGATTTAAAAATATGTTTTCTATTGTCGTGAAACTTTTCAAATGAGCGCAAGAATTTTGAATTTATCAAATAATCTCACAGATTGAAAAGGGTGTTTTCGACGTTATCGGAATTCAACGCTATCTTCTCTCTGTCGATTTTCAAAATGGAAATATTATCCCATTAAATTTTTAGCACGCCGTGTATGAGCCTACAGTTTTTTTTTCTCATCACTTAGTAAACTTAGACAAATAGAAACAGAAAAATAGAAAGTATAATGTAGGTTCTAGATTAAAAATAGTTGAATGTGCGAGATTGGTTTATGGTTTACAGATGACCATCATCCTCCTCCTACTTTCACACCACCAGAGTTGCCCAAGAAGGTTCATGTCCGAGGTACTTCTCTGAAATATTATTCACCCCCCTGTTCCTATCGCACCAAATTAGTTCTAGATTTTTTTTGGTTACTTTTTGTCTTAATTTGTGCACCTATTGGCACCTTCCATCAATTAGCAAAATCAATATTCATATTCGTTTCACATTCATATTCAGTTATCTTTGTTCAAGGTCTCTATGATAATACCTTCACTGTTATGCTGATGATTTATCTTATCTATATCAGAATGAAAGTAATTATCTCTCATCCTCTTAGAATACATATTTTTTTTCTAAAGGATATATAGGTTCACACGATAACGATTAAATTATGCTTTCTTTAAAATATTATGTCTTAGTATATTGAATATTAGAAGAATGTAAGTAGGGCTGTTTTTTTATATTGGGTTCGTAGCGTTTTTATTGAATTTATTTCTTTTTAATAAACTAGTTGCATGAACTAATCAATTCCAATATTCACTATACCAACGATCTGGTAGTTTTTCTATTCCACGCCTGAAGAAATTTGGTGGTATGGAGGAGAAGAATTAACTAAACCAGTTTTGACACGCGATTTATCATATATCATCATTAAAGCAGATTTCTCGAAGGCTGTTCTATAGAGAACGAAAGAGATGAAAATCTGATGGAGTAAGATCAGGAGAATAGGGCGAACGCGCACTACCTCTTAGCCAAGCTCTTGAATAGCCGATTCTGCGATATAGCAGTGATAATTACATTCCTCGGAAGACGACACCTAGGTATCTACCGACTCTCGCTTAGAAAGTTGCCTTTCTGTTAGAACCAAGCCATACTTTTCTGTTTTTGACGTTGATGTAATGCACCCATAATAACCTGGGACAAAAACAGTCGATGTTGTTGACGAGCTAAATGAAATCGAACCAACAAAGAGACAAACGTGAAACGTTGATTTTTTTTTTTCATTCAAAACATGTAGCAACCAATTTTTAAACTTTACCCAAGTAATGCAAATAAGGCCGACTGAACTCAAATTCAAATCCTGCATGAATGTTGGGATACTCGATATACCAATTGATTTCCAGGGTACTCTTGCCATGGAAACTAAAAACGCTACGAACCAAGCAAAACTGAAACTTAGAATATAAAATTCCAACAGGAACAATTTTTTGTCTTTTGCCACAAATATAAATAGCATTATAATATTTTTACAGTTATCTGAAATTTATCTGCTTTTAAATACTTTTAGATGATATATTATCTTAATACAGAGGAATGCATCATTATCATTATCTTTTATCCGTATCTATTCGTTTCTAGATACAATATCTAGATGTATGAGTTTTAGTTATCGTATATTTGCATAACACTGAATGCTGAAAGTTTTTAATCCTTCTTAAGGCAAACCTAGTACTTATAAAACTAGTAAGAAGGTGCCAATAATAAACATAACCGCATTTTTTTATGTTTATATGATTATTTTATTAATTAATTAACAATGTGCTTCTTGATAAACTCTGCTAATATTCCCAGCTCCCGGAACATTCCTTTTTGCTTTCCCATGTACATTATATTAGAAATAACACTAGAATCATACTAAATTAGTAATAGGCAATTAGAATTAGCTTTTACTATTTAACCATAACATTTGTTTGGCAGAATTTGCAAACATTTTAATTCGTTGCTTTTTATTTACAGGTGATATGAATCGACATGATGATGTACATTGTAAGTTTATTAGGGTATTTTATCTATTACACCTATGTCACCAGAAATACCCCATATTAAAGCATGCATTTAGTGTACAAAAGGGTAACCGAAATGGAATGAAAAATTAATGCAAGCAGATCTATTTGGCAATTTGTAACAATTATATTTGTTCTAACAAAATATGATCTGAACACGTTTTTATTACAAAATTATGTTAGTAATATAAAATAAACATTGTATTTTATAAGCACTGAACCTAGGTACTTAGTTATGTTTGAAATTAAGGGGTAGGTAGGTAGGTATATTTAGACAACCAATCTGTTTAAAAAAAAAATATTTTTGAAATATATTGCTCCACTGTGTTCAGTTTTCTTAATTAGAACAACTTTTTTATGTAAAAATATTTCCATACATTGCATACAAAGTGTTCATAATTTTGAAGAAAGCACTTAAAGAATAGTATAAACAAATGCTAAATAATGATTTTTGTAACTTAATAAACAGGATGCAGTATTTAAAAATGTAATTTTGATAAGTAAATCAATATTTATTAAACGTGACTTCAAATTAGATGCTTTCTATCAACGACAATAATGAATTAGCAACAATAGTTTTAACTTACTTTAAAACATTTTGTAATTTGAAAACTATTAAATAACACAAAACACAGATCTAAGTTCTACTTAGAAAATATTAATTCAGGCTATTTTTTCTAAATGCAGCTTTGGTTTTAAAATAATTTCTTAAACCTTTTATATGTATACAGGGTGTCCGGTAAAATGTGGGAAATCTCTCGGGTGCAGATAGAACATGAAATAATAAGATGACAAGTTCCTATCAAATTTTTTCGTATAAGCCTACGGAGATGTGTCCCTGAAGGACGCCGCTGAAGGATTTTTCTTGAATAACTTTAAGGGCCTCTTAAAATAGTGTCCTTGTTGCCAGGGGCGGGCTAAGATTTACAACTTAATGCCTACATTTTTAACACCCTGTATGATAAAGACTTTAAAATAGTAAATCTGGGTAGCTTCAACCTTACACTAAAAAAAGGTACCCTTGTTTATTTCGATAAAATGAACCGTTTACGAGAAAAAGTATAATAAACAAATTCATGTTTTATTTTTAATAAAAAGGGCCATGGTTTCTATTTTTTTTTTCCAACAACAAAGTGAGATACGAGTCATTCAAATAAAAGTTTAATTTTAAGATGTTTAATTTGAAAAAATACAAAATTAAAAAAACGCAGTGGTGCCCCAGGAGGCACCTTAACGAAATTATTGAAAAACTTCATAAGAGGGTTCAACATGGGCTTCGTGAAGTCTGATACACTCGCGGGCAAGATCGATTGAAGACTGCTGTACCCGCTACAATAACCCAGCATTGTTCCATATCACATCACAATGAAACGTGATTCTCTGTAGAAGTTCCTCCCTAGTGTCGATCGGAGTGGAATACACCAATTGTTTGAGCTGTCCCCACAGGTAAAAATCCAGAGGCGTTAGGTCGGGAGAACGAGGTGGCCAGGCAATAGGTCCTCCTCTACCTATCCAACAGTTTGGATTGACGTTATTCAGGTGCTCCCGCGCACCAACGCTGAAATGAGGTGGTGTCCCATCGTGCATGAAGTACATGTTTTGGCGGGTTTCAATTGGTAAGTGTTCTATTAAATCTTGAAAAGCGTTCTGAAGAAACTCCAAATAAAGTTGTCCATTCAATCGTTCCGGCAATACGAAATGGTCCAATAAAAAAAATTGCCAATGATTCCTGCCCAGATGTTAATTGATTGGAACTGATGTTGATTATGCGAAACAATAGTGGCCTAAAGATTTTCATCAGCTCATACATGTGTGTTGTGTAAATTGGTGATACCATTTTTGGTAAACCTTGCTTCATCCGTGAAAAGAATAGTGCTAATGAAGTTTACATTATTTCGTTGCTGATCCAATAGTCAGTGTGCAAACTGCATTCTACGAGGAAAATATTTAGAAATCAGTTCATGTATTTTTTGCAAATGGTATATATATATATATAACAGCTGTTCTTGAAGAACTTCATGTACTATTGTTTTCGGTATATTAAACTGTGCTGATAATTTTCGAGTGCTCGTTGATGAAGTGTCTTCTACAGCAAATAAAATATTTTCCTCTAATTGCGAAGTACGTACGGTTCTTCTCAAACCAGCATCAGTTGGCAGAGCACGATTAGGAAATATGTCGTTATATAACCTTCTGGCTTGTAAAGCATTGCAAAACGCAAGACCATACATGAGATGCATATCTGCATACTCAATAAACGTGTATTCCATATTTCGAATTAATTCACAATTAAATTCACCACAAAATCCAAAAATCGGTAAATTAATAACGTAGTAAAGGATCAATGTGTCAGCGATTTCACTTTGTTGTCGAAAAAAAAAATAGAAATCATGTCCCTTTTTATTAAATAAAACATGTATTCGTTTATTATTATTTTTCTCGTAAACGGTTCATTTTATCGACAATAAACAGGAGTACCTTTTTAGTCTAAGGTTGAAGCTACCCATATTTATTCTTTAAAATCTTTATCATACAGGGTGTTAAAAATTTAGGCATTAAGTTGTAAAGCTTAGCCCGCTGGTAAACTAAAAAGGCTAAATATGTTTCAAGGACACTATTTTAAGAGGTCCTTACTAGTGTCATTCACATACATTTTTTTGTAAATTATATACTTATATACTTTAAAAGTTATTCAAGAAAAACCGATTTCCAGAGGCGTTCTTCAGAGACACATATCTCTGTAGGGAGGGCCTGTACGAAAAATTTTTATAGGAACTTGTTATCATATTTTTTCATGTTCTGTCTGCGCTCGAGAGATTTCCCACATTTTCCTGGACACCTTGTAGATGTACCGACATATTAGATTTTATTAACCGTAATTTATTTAAATATTCTAATTATAAAACAGTTACTATCAAATAAAATAGTGGTATCAAATATCTGTGATTATTAGAAGGGACATCCCAAAAGTAACGCAGAATTTGAATTGTGCCGCTATTTCCATTCCGAAGAGTTGTCAGCATTGTGCAGGGTCACATATTTTAGTAAATACGTTGCAGTTAGACTAAGGTTACTGGAATTTCCGTTACACTATCACTCACCCCACCGTAGCAATATTTTCGGCTGAACGGCCAGTACGAGGGCGACCTGTTTTTTTATTGTCAGCAACCGAACCTGTCTGTTCAAATTTGACAACCAGTCTTTTCAGTTTTTTCATTCGAGGAGTTCCTTCTACCAAAATTCCACGTAATTTGCGCACACTCTCAGTTACACACTCTCTGTACTGTGAAATTTCACAATCTTCACCTATCCGTCTTATAGCGCTCCATTTTGTTAAACCGCAACGTATTTACTACAACGTATGACCCTGAACAATGCTGCCAACTCTTCGGAATGAAAATGGTGCACTATTCAAATCCTGTATTACTTTTGCGACACCCTTTATTTAGCGAATTTTTATTTTAGGACGTCATGTGTTATATCTAGGCTTAATTTTGTAGTTTGAAGCACTTTAAATAGTTTTTGTTAATTTAGATAGAAAAATTACTGATATGGTTCGCTAGCATGCAAGAATGCTAATAACTTTGTTCTATGTGCACAGTAAAACATATTTGGGCCACCTTAATGACAGATGATATCCCAAAATGTGTAAATTTGTCCAAGTGTAATAGTCGCAAAGGTATTGGACAATGAAATACCTACTTATATTAAACAAACCCTTGTCTTTTATACCTCCATCCAAAGTATAATAAAACATCTACAACAACCTTGAATATTAGTATGTGTGAATTGCGATATACCCTTTACATTTTTACAAAATATATTTGGTTTTTACAGTGGGACATCGCAATCAGAATCATCGTAACAGCGCAATACCAATGGCCAACATGGTGAACTCGACGAAACAAGTGAACAAGGTGAAACCGAACATTACTAGATCTGCAACAGACAATATGGTATCACCAAGTTATAATTCTAGGTAAAATACAGAATAAAACTAAATTTACATTGATGAGATTGACTGCTTTTCATATATTTCCAATATGATAATATAATTTGTTATAGGATTTGACACGAAACTTTAGTCTACGAAATATCACTATCTAACACTACTCAGTGAGCTAGTGCTAAGATGGCACTGCATGATTTTAACACAATTTTTTCACATCACTTTTTTCTGCAAGAGAAATATTTTTGCTATAAGTATTAAAAATACATTATTTATCATTTACTATTATTAAATTTATTACGATATAAAATTAAGAAGTAAACTCTGCAATCAATTATATTAAATAGTGATAATGCAGTTTTTTTATTTTGTTATATAGAGCTTTCATAAATGGTTACAGACTACATGATCGCCGAACTCAGGCAACCAACATTGCTCGGCTAGTACCGTCAAATAAAAATCCCTAAAGGCCTGTGCATACATACGCGGTAGCGATGGCGGTGGCGGTAGAGGTGGCGGTGGCGGTATTCGAATTTAAATATACCGCTCGTACCGCGACATGTATGTTTTGTTTCTATGCGTCACATTCAAACGCCACCGCCACCGCTTACCTTACCGCGTGTGCAGGCCTTAAATCTTAACGTCACCAATATCAATATTTCGTTTACAATGAACAATGGCAAAATGTTACATCTACGCTCCAGATAATGCGATCACTGATTGGTGAAAAATTACACCAATCACCAGCCGGTGAAACAGAATGCTGTGTTTTAATGTTTTAATGTGTTAATCTTAATATTGTCTTAATTTTACCGAAATTGCCAATGTGATGGAAATAAAATTACTGTTCCAAACAAAATTATTGGTCACGTGGCTTGTAATCATTTATGAAGGCACTGAAGGCATCCACTACAGAAACCTTATCAATTATTTATTTTTTCTGTTTGTAATAAATGATTATTGCTAAATAATTATTGCTATATAAGAGACTAAATAAATATCAAGAAATGGATATTTCTAGTACAGGTATCTAACGTGCGTTTTATGGCTTATAGAAATATTGCGATAATGACTACATAAACGTACCATGGGGGAGTTACAAAAAATTGACTTGAAATTTTACAAGTCTCCTTACTAAATCAACCCAGAAAAATTAACATTTGACATTGATAAAATTATCTCCAAGTTGAATTTTCGCGCAGACGTTCTTTGAGGTGTGTCTCAAACCCAAATCAGCAAAAATCATGGAAATCACAACATTGCTATCCAAGATATTGGGACAAAGTTATTTGCAAATATCTCGCGTTCTAACTTTCGGACATCCATAAGATGTGAAAGATATAGAGAATTTAATTACCTACAAGATTGCTCTCTTCCATGAAATCAATGTAAAAGTTGTAGAAAATTTACGTAATTATCTACAAGATTGGTAAATTTACAGTTTCTAGAAAATATCAATTTTATACATAATATTTTTCCTATTCCATGACGTATAATGCATTGGGCGCGAGATTTTATTGTTTTTGAAACTTTGACCTCGAATATGTCGAAAAGGGCGAGGTTTCGGAAAAAATGCAAGAGATAAATCTTGTAGATAATCAAATTCTCTACAACTCATACTGGATGTCCGATGCATAGAACGCGAGATATTTTTAAAAAACCTTCAACATCTTGGGTAGCTATATTGTGATATTGTGATTTTTACGGATTTAGGTTTGGGGCACCTCATAGAACGTCTGTACAAAAGTTCAGCTTGCAGGGAATTTTATAGAGGTTTGTTCCTTTTTTTCGTGTAATTTCCTTGGAGTAATAGATTAATTTGCTAAATTATTAAATTTAAATACTTATCAAGTTTCTGCGACATATTTTTTGCAAGTCATAACAGATCTCTTAGATAGGATGTCATATATTTTTAGTAATTTCATAGCAAAATGTTTTTCTTGAAGTATATTTGATAGATATATTCTACATTGTTTTTATATATATATTAATAAGTTATTAAATGTGGTGTGCTATCAGCAGTGTGCTGTTTTCAGAGCGCCGGAGCAAGAACCGACATCTTACGCCGGCTATCATCTAGCCTATGAAGTGAAAAAACTCATGTATGCTTAAGCCAATACTTACACTTTTCACTTATATTTGTTGCTGCTTGCATTGCTTGTTTTATTAGCATTTACATACATCAAGGACCAAAAATTGTAAAAATTTCTGTCACTTCCATTAATTAAATTACAAAAAAATATTTCTGCGTGATCCTTGATGTATTTTATTTAATACAGTTAATATTTTCCATTTTTTTTGTATTGTTTGTACTAAATGTTTTCTTCGTATAATTCCATAATTAATTAATATTAACTATTAGATGTACATTAATAAATAGTTGTATGATAATTTTATATTAGATAAATAGGGATAAGTCAACTCGTATGGCACAATGAAAACTATTAAGGTGCAAAATCATATGTTTTAACATTTTGTTTAAAGATGTGACGACCAAAGAGTACAATTTTTTTATTGTTAATTTTATTAATTTTGATATTTTATACAGACTAAAGTAAATGATAGTACCTAAATTCAGGGTATTTATGGATATTGAAGGGGCTGTTCTCAAAATTTATTTAAATTTACTGCAATATAAATCTTTGTTCGGGATCTCTATTTCTGAACAGTCTAGAATCTGCGCAAAATTATAAACGCAAAGACACGAACTGTTTTAGTAGTAAACTAATAGTTCAAAATCTAATCATTTTCATCAGTTTGTATCTTTCTGCTTTTTGTGTCTTTGCCTTATACCTTAACCTCGTAATACGACAAAATTAAAATAATTTTCGCTGGCGGAAATGAAATCCTTTTATATCCAGCTTCAATTTTAAGATGCAAATTTGATTGTTTGTATGTATTTAACAGGAAAGAACCAAATATGCACCTTAAAAATTACAAAAACTAATTTATTCATCTAGATAGAAAAAATATATCTTCATACCTAAAGTGTCCTTTAAATTCTTTATTTGTAAATAGATCAACCAAAAATGATTTGATTTTTGACATGATTACTTCGCAATTCTGAGAAAATACCCAACATTCTATCGTTTCTTCAGAACTGGAACTAAAAAATGATAATGCAGAAATACTCAGATATATTTCGTAAAAGAAAAACATGAAATGAAAAATTTACAAAATTTACGGGAAATAATCAAGGGGATCTTCGGAAGTAATAACTACGCATGCACCAAATAATACAATTCTAAGTATAGTCCGTACAATATTTGTCGAGATGAAATTCCAAGAACAGAATAAGCCAATAATGTTCTATTATCGGAACTACTGTAAGAATTTACCAGAAACATATGCATTTTGATTAATTATCAATGGGAAAATCGAAAGCTGAAGATACTACACGTAAAATGGTGACCATTAGCGCAAATATGCCTTATCCGAAAGTTGATAGTTTCGGAAATACAGTGAAAATTTGTGAAATTATATTTTTTTAAACGACGAATAAGATGCGTGTTGCAATTTCAGCGTTGGTCATAGAGGGCACCACTTACGATCAATTTTACCGAAAATTTAGTTCATAATTTTTTACCCTGTATGTCTAATATGAAACTTGATTCACAACCTGAAAGAGCAATAAATTTTCCATTAATTATGTACTCTTGTTTCATTTCGGTATCTCGATCCGTTTTCGAGAAAAATCGATTTAACGAATACTATGTTTTGACACAGGGTAAAAAGTTATTAACTAAATTTTCGGTAAAATTGGTTGTAAGTGGCGCCCTCTATGAGCTGAATTTACAACACACATCTTATTCGTCGCTTAAAAAAACATAGTTTCACAAATTTTCAAATTCCTAACCTACATATTTTCAGAATAATCGCAAAAAAAAACAATTTAAAATTTTAATTTTCAACGCCCTGTATTTTTGTGTTTCAACGTTTCGAATAAGGCATGTTTACGCCAATGGTCACCATTTTACGTGTAGTATCTTCAGCTTTCGATTTTCCCATTGTTAATGAATCACCCTGTATTTAAGTAACCCTAATCTGATAAATTTTCGAAGTCATCTTCATCATTAGAACTTTCACTGTCACAAACTTTCTTTTTTTTTCACCTCCATTGATAATTTTAGAGAAATTACACTGAAAATGTACAGGACGGTACACATACGTAGAAACACGCCTTTGTAACCTCAAAACACAGTACGCACTGCAAGCTGCTACGGTGAATGCCGCGCCGCCAATGTCTTTCTTCCTCGGGTATCGAATGCGATTAATTCCAAGAAAGTGACGCAGCGGTCTTCTTGGAATTCTATCTCAACAATATCATTCGTGCTTGGGAGCAAGAATTACTTCAGATGATTCAGAATAGTTCCGAATCAGGTTCGAATAAAACCAAAACAAATATCTGCGAAATTCTGATTAATACGGTTCGGAATCGGGTTAACCCGAACAAAGCTATAGTAAACTGATTGAAAGATTGCCATATTTTCTTTCACGCTTCATTTATAATTTTATTATACCATTTATTTTACATGAAATACGACAATATACTAGAATAGTCGAAACAAAAAAAAATCAACATTATTGAATTAAGAAAATATTTTTCCTGTACCTAATTTGCAAGTACTTATGTTAAAATATTCCTTCAGTTATTTTTTGTTCAGTTCAGTTCAGTTCTCTGTCATAAACTGGACTCAATGATTGTTACTCTTTTCATTTCACTTAAAAATACTTTTTTTGTTTTCGCTTCTTAAAAAAATTATTTTAATATTAGCTAGAACAATTTACTTGTCTTGTAAATAATGCTAACTACCCTTATGCTATCTGCTGATAGTCCGACCAATATTTTTTATTTTTTGTTATTATGTGCCATACCATGAATTTGTGTGTTTAGTTTTCAAGCTCAAATAAAGTGTAAATAACTTAAGCATATTATTATTTTATTTTGAAGTTTTCTTTATTAATTTATATTACTATTAGGATATACGTATATATCTATAGAAAAATTATTAGTTCAGTAACTAGTCATAAAGTTCATTTTCATATTTTGGTAATACATAACTATTAAAAAAAACAAATCAACTTGCACATGCATGCCAAAGAACTAATACTCATTTTCAAAAAATTCAAATATGCATTCCTCTGTTCTTGTATCGTTGAAATTATTTGGCATGCATTTGACATGACTCAACATATTGGGTGTTGGCGGTGTGGTAACTGGTAACGATTAGAAAAATCATTTGAGTCTTCGTTAGATCATATGCATGTAATAGATTTTTCAGGGAACTAACACATCTTAGTGTAGATAAGTTTTAATGAAATCAATTTTCATGCATAGAGAATGAGCTAGAATGGTAGTGCTAGTTTGTTCTTTGAGAAACATTGATTATCTGTATTCGACATGAAAAAAATAACCCTTTACAGGCCAACAAGCAGAAGTAGTGGAGGAACGAACCAAAATAATAATGGAGTGGCACTACCAGTTGGTTTGGCCGACGATCAAGCCAAAGATTTTGATTTTGAAAAGACTGAAATGAAATACGATAGCACTGGAATGTTTCATTGGGGACCTGCAAAAAATTTAGAAGAATGCATACTGGTAATGACATATTAGTAGATAAAACAGTGAATAAACTGGCATACTTAGATTCATAAATATAAGAGAATGACTACTGCATTAAGTTACTACTACTAAGTCATAAAACAAACGAAGGGGGATCTAAACAAGTTCAGTATTGAATTGTATTTCAAAAATTTATTCCTATTTTTATAATTTTACTTATTCTTTTACTTATTCCTATTTAACTGAGTATTGAGAGGGTATTTTGAACTGACAGGAAATAATTCTTAGATGTATCGTGTAATGAAAAAAGTAAGGTTATTTTTAAAGATATCTAATAATTACAGCAACACAGAACTATAAGTTGTTTTATATTGACAATTTATTGATTAATTAATTCATGAAGTCGCTTCATCAAGAAACTGGAAGTCTATTGCATCAAATCTACTGTCAAATAAATTCATGAATTTATTCATCAGTTCTTGACGAATTAGAACATGTTCTAATTTCATTTCAATTCAATTTCTTCGTGAAGTTCAGAAGTACCAACCCAACAAATTTCTAGGTTCAGATGAGTAATGAGGTTATGTTATTGGAATATGTAAATAATTGTGTGGCGTCGTACTAGATTTGTATTGTTTTTACTAATTTGTTACTTACAAAAACTAATATTTATATATGTGTCAAAACGGTACCGTTGTTATGCCACTGCAATTATGAGTGGAAAGGTGATATTTTTGAAATGTATTTGCTTCTTTGATTTGTTGGTAGAGCTGATTCATGTGTCAAAGAAATTCACGAAGTCTGTAGTAGTGTAAAACCAAACCGTTTATAAATAAATTCGTGAATTAATACACTAGTATTTAGAGCTGGTGACGCTATTACGTATAACATCAAATTTCATCTAATGCCATATGTGTTCTAAGAAATAATTGATTATACAGTAATAGATACGGCAGCCGAAGCCTTAGCTCAGTAAACCCATTTTTTGAGAAACTGTCACATATACTCATGTATTGCCGTTTTTGCATCTTTTGAATAAGTACAGCTATTTAATTTTTACTGTGGTAACTTGCTTCGTCCACGACAATCACACTATTTTGAGGAGTATTGGGAATTCCCTTATTTACGAACTAATCTTCAAATAACTCCGCTGTGATATCTTCGTGGTAACAAAAATAGAAGTTCTTTAAATTTTTTACTGAGAATAAAATTGAATTAGGTAACCAACCGTCTTCAGTTAGATGATGCATTTGTTTGACACTGACTATTAGAGTCAACTGAAGCTTTCTATGGAATATCATATAATTTCTTTATTGACTTTACAAAATACAAAACGCTTCGATAGCGTTTATTTCTATCAAAGTTAATATGTTGTCTTCTGCTTCAAATCTTCTGTGTAAATTATCGAGTGTTGGTATGTATGCTCTTCATATATCTTATAAATTTTGTAACTGCATCGCTCCCACCTAATTTTTTGTAAGCCCCTGAATCTTTCCTTGTTTTTCTTTAGGTAAATGAACTGTTCGCATCTACGCTATTTTCATTGAAATATTAGTTAATCTGGCCATTTCTTCAATTCTTCATTTTATCGAATTTTACATGCTCAATGAGTGTCATAATATTTTATAATCTCTTTAGCATCTAAGGATAAGTGCTTTCTTCGATTTTCATTTCCGCACTGTAGCTGTCTTTACTTGATACACCAGTCCACAGATTTGATTAATCAAAAAAATGTTCTACATTTACACGAACTATTAAAATGACTAGCCTTACAAGAATCTCATCTACTTACTATCCTATCAGAAACATTTTACTTGTTAATTGGCTCCCAGGTCGACACAGGTAGTCATTCTCTTAAATCTATGAATGTATTTTACTATCTAAGAATGTTTATTGTTTAATAAAATAGAAGTAAATGTGACAAAATCTATTTTAGGATAGAAATCAAGCAGCAATGACTGTATTAAATGGACATGTGGTGGTTTGTTTGTTTGCTGATCCGGATTCTCCTCTCATAGGGTTACGAAATTTAGTAATGCCGTTAAGAGCCAGTAATTTCCATTACCATGAATTAAAACATGTAGTAATAGTCGGCTCGGTGGATTATATAAGAAGAGAGTGGAAAATGCTACAAAATTTACCAAAGATATCTGTTCTTAATGTAAGTATTTTTGACGTTCATTTGGATTGGAAATCTTCTACTCACTATTAATAGAAAGGATGGAATTTGCAAATTAATTATTATTTGTAGGGTTCTCCTTTAAGTAGAGCAGATCTCCGTGCTGTGAATGTAAATTTATGTGATATGTGTTGCATCTTATCAGCAAAGGTACCAAGCAATGATGATCCAACGTTAGCGGATAAAGAGGCTATTTTGGCATCTCTAAATATTAAGGCAATGACTTTCGATGACACAATAGGTGTGCTGAGTCAAGCCAATGGTACAAATGAAGCTGGGACACCCGTTGGTAGTCCAATAATTCTTCAAAGAAGAGGATCTGTTTACGGAGCAAACGTACCTATGATAACTGGTAAGCACATATTTTATGACATTGCCTTATATTTAGGGATGGGATTGTTACAGACATTTCAGGATCAGAACTAGTACAACATTGCATCTAAAAGTTGGCCCACATTTAATAGCAATCTTATAAAAACTGTCCAAAAAGAAATAGCATTTTGTTCGCGAATTAATAGTTATTTTCCGGAAGTTCTTTAAACGCTGTAGTAAATGGTCACACAACACATCTACAAACATTTGAAACAAAAAAAAAACTATAACTATATAGTATTCCAAAAATGGTGTGCAATCTTCTTTCGACCTTACCCTTTTGAACTTCAGAGAATTCAGATAATTTCTTGAAATTTGAAAAAATTATCACAATCATGATTCAGTACAAACAGTAAATAACGCATCTTGTTGAAGTATGATTTCTGCAGCATTTTCGATTCTAACCCACAATTCCTCAAAATTTAGGTGAGGAGGTTGATGAAAAATAAAACTGGACCATTTCATTCTATTAACGAAACAGTGTAGAAACAATGTGTTTTAATAAACATTTATTGGTACATTTCTTGACAATAATTCTAATAAATTATTTTGCATTTATTGCACATTGTTGTCGAAAATTTGTTCTATGTTGGATTTTCCACTATTCATGAATTTGTCACAAAAAAATGTGTCCTAAAATTTTTGTAGTTATTTTATTGTAATCAAATGAAAACAAAATTGAAATCCCGCATAATGATTGTAAATCCTTAATACGCGCATAGGAAACATATCACTCTCTTCTTCAGAAGTTACTCTGAAACTGGAGATCTACTAATCTTGTCACTATTTATATTTGATGTGGTCACTGATCCATGACGTTCCAGTGGGTGACCTCGTACGCGTTGTTGAAATTGTTCGGATTTTTGTAAATATGTTCTTTGTATAGTCGGGGCCAAAATCTTCTCTCTCTCTGTCACACACACACACACACCATCATGTTGGCTTCACTCAGATCCACTGTGTGTTCCGTGTCCGCCCTATGCTATGTTACTGCCGATTTTTCCCAGTTGTTATTTTTGAGGTAACATTTGTGTTCCTTTAACCTCGTGTTGATGTGCCTTCCTGTTTGTTCTATGTAGACCTTTCCGCAAGAGCAAGGAATACTACACCGGGGTCCTGGAGCTGGTCATTGTTGCAGGTTTTTGGAAACGCTGCCGCCACGTGTTCTTCAAAAGACGACCGATTTTATCTGTATAACCTTTCACGTAAAGTAGATACGCCTTCGCTAGGTATTCTTGTTTCTCCATGGGCGTATGTCTCCTCCTGATAGCTTGTTCGATATTTCTCGCCGTGTAGCCATTCCCTCTCAGGGCTGTGCGTAGGTGTTCTAGTTCCTCGGCCAAGTGTATTGGCTCGCTGATGATCCGCGCTCGATGAATCAAGGTATTTATGATCCCCTGTGAGTTGGCTTCCTATATACTAGATGTCCTAAAATGTCATCTGGTTTCCTCTCGACCAAAACATCCAAGAAGGGAAGGGCGGCGTTTTTCTCTATCTCCATGGTAAATTGGATATCTGGATGTATTCCATTGATGTGGTCCAGGAAATCCGCTACGGTGTTGCGTTCGTGGAGACAGATGATGAAGGTGTCGTCAACATATCGGTACCAGCACTTAGGCTTCAACGTTGTGGATTCCAGGGCTTTCTTCTCAAAGGCTTCCATGTATATTTTGGCTAGGACTGGAGATAACGGTGAACCCATTGCTGTTTCCTCCGTCTGTTCGTAGAATTGGTCCCGGTATACAAAGAAGGTCGATTTTATGCACACTCGCGTACCTAATGTTTTCTATACTTTTTGTGAACATTCAACTTGCGTGCAATTTACCTGGTACTCGATGTAGGTTATTCTGGGGTCCGTAGAATGGAACAAACAAACCTCCGCAAAAACGAAAAACATTCTGCATAACGACGTGATGCTTCTTCTACAACGTTTTGTACAATAGTTCACGGTAGATTAAGAACATATTAACAAATACATTATGGTTTTGTAAGATACTGGGGTACGACATACTGTAGTGTCAAAACTCATGACGAGCAAGTAAAAATCCGCCTGTAAAGGATGTATACGTTATTGAAAGGTTTTGTGAAAGTTTTCTTTTTTTAATTAAATATCTATTTTTATACTTACCTTCGCCAGTTAATAAGAAAATTTCACTTTCATTAATACTCAGGTGTTAATCGATAGAGTGGACTGTATAAACTCTTGTGCTGATTGAATAATTTCCTTTATTTCCTGACTATGGTACAACTACACAATTAGATTAATAGAATTTAGAATCTGTCATCATTTTTAATTTGATTTTTCAACAACAACTTTTTTGTTTTTGTTGCTCTGCAACCGTCTCTATACAACTTAGATTATATAAAATATATTAACATACAAAATACAAAATACTTCACCATCAGGTAAATTAGTCATATTTTGATAACATATCTAAGAGAAACGATCAAAACAGCCTAAATACGCACCTGAAATGTCCACAAAAACTGCTTTTTCCAATACAATCAAAACATATTAAGTATTTTATATTAACTCTTATATTACTTACAGAATTAGTCAACGACAGTAATGTACAATTTTTGGACCAAGATGACGACGATGATCCCGATACTGAATTGTACTTAACGCAGCCTTTTGCATGTGGTACAGCTTTTGCTGTTAGTGTTTTAGATTCATTAATGTCTACTGTAAGTGTATATGTAAGCAAAGGAGAAACATGACTTACTAGTTATTATTATATTTCAGACTTATTTTAATCAAAATGCCTTAACGTTAATTCGGTCTCTGATAACCGGAGGTGCTACACCTGAACTGGAATTAATTTTAGCTGAAGGTGCAGGCCTTCGAGGAGGATACAGGTAATAGACGAAGGAACAGAAATTTGTTCTGATCTGTAACAGTTAACTAACGATTATTTACTTAAAATGTATGACACTAAATATTGTTATTTTTGTAGCACTGCAGATAGCTTGTCAAACAGAGATAGATGTCGAGTAGGCCAGATATCTCTATACGATGGTCCTCTAGCACAATTTGGGGAGACGGGAAAATATGGTGATCTATTTGTTGCCGCTCTTAAACAATTTGGTATGCTTTGCATAGGACTCTATAGGTTTAGGGATACAAGTTCATCATGTGATGCTAGTAGTAAAAGATACGTTATAACCAATCCGCCAGATGATTTCCAGTTATTACCCACAGATCAGGTAAATTTGAAAAGTATTTTATATGTTTATACATTCAGTAAGAACAACTGACACATTCATTCAGTTATTTATATTATTGCACACAAATTCACTACCTGCATCTTCAGTGGTGACTGCAAAAGATTCGCTGCGTCTGTAAATAATAATAATACCACATATCTTACGTGGTACTAAAATATTGAATAATTTTGGAAACTTTTAAACATTATCTACTATAAGTGTTTCAGTCATGGTAAATTATACATGATTTTAATTGATGATGTGGTGAGAAAGACATTGAATTGAATTGCACCTACAGTATCTAGTAAATTGTTAAGATCATTCATCAGCAAAGCCACCGGGTTGATTTGTAAGTTGAATCTCACCCACACTCAAATTATTCACAATTTGTTATTATGACATTTTAAAATTTCAATAAGTCCGGTATCTTTTTTTATTAGACCTATTTAAATAGATTATATTTTTTTCTAATGAGTTATTTCTTTAATATACTTTTGGAGGCTTGGTATCAAAGAGTACCTATGACTTCATTTGACGAGAATTATTGAAAAAAGGAATTAATTTGAATTAACTTAATACCTTAATAGTAAAATAAAAATGGAAGAATTAATAATAAAAATTGTGCAATTTAAAAAATACTAGGTATTTTTTCAGGTATTCGTTTTAATGCAGTTTGATCCGGGATTAGAATACAAGCAAGTCAGAGGGCGAACAGGCACAGGTCAAGGCAGTGGCACAGGAGGAGGGGGAACCAACAAAGATGAAAACTCTTGACTACTACTATGTAGCGCCCTTACAGATGGACCCTATTCATATATATAGAAAAATAAAAGTGGTCCAAAATAATTATTATACCCACCATTCCAGAATCCTTTTCCAATTTGTATGTTTACTGTTATCTTAAATATGTCTTAATTAATATTTTTCAAATGATGTGTTTTCATGCTTACCATATGTAAATATATCATACCAAAAGCGGTTTTTTTTTGTGTACATAAAAGTGTATTTTTTTAATTTGACCTTTAATACCTGTAGATTATAAATGGTTACCAATATTTTTTCATTATACATTTGGAAAATTTTGTGTCCCAAGTTTGAAATAATCACTGAAAATTCTTGACCAAACCAAATTTAAAGCTTTTTTTCACTTGATTTTAAAAATTAATATTTATTTTTTTATGATTTAAAATTATAATTATACAATTAATCTTACCCATAATCGGAAGTCATATTGTTAATTTTTACGTATACATATTATTTTTTTGGGATGCGTAATTTTTCAACACAACTCAAATAAATGGATATTTTTATGTTAAGTTAATTTTAAGTTTGCTATGTCGTTTCATTTTAGTTTCAGTTAAGCGTATGCCAATTGTATTACTAATTTTGTAGATACAATTTCTTCGTGTGGGTGTTTTACTAACAAATTATCTGTGAGGCGCTACTATAATATTCTCTGCTAACTCTACTCTGGACTCTCTAATGCTTTAATTTCCATGTAAGAACATTATAAAAAAAATACGTTAATACATTAACATCGATAAAGACAAAGACAGTTTTAATAAAGTTTTGTATATATAGTTCTTACTGTGACGCAATTTTTTTAAAAATATATATAAAGCTGTTGTGCCATTTGTAAATAGACTGAATGATAAATGAGCTTTTTTATAGAATGTGTAAATGATGTAGATATTTGTTAGAAAAGTGCAGAGGTGGGTATATAAAGACCTAATTGTTATTGTGGGATTTGTTTTTATATATAGATTCTCGTTAATTACATATTTAATATGAAGTGAGTGCAGTCACAATCCATTTTTCAATAACTTATCAATATAAAATCATATTTTTTGATACTTTATATAAGAAAGTTTTCTGCCAATCCAATGACTAGGTACGTGATGAGGCTATAAAATAACGAGACTAATCCTGTAAAACTTTTTATTTTAAATTTTTGCATACTTGATTATTGTCCCCTTACACCGGCTCCATGCAAATGTTACATTGTACAAAACAATGCTGGATGTCTTTTTTCTGTAAGCTCGTTCACGGCACGTGCTTTCTTCTTTCGCAGCTTCAAGGGACTGAAATCTTGTTCCTTTTATTGCGGATTTGACCTTGGAGATCAGATAAATATCACATGGTGCCAGGTCAGGCTAGAAACATCTTGACAGACAATGCAGTGTGAGTCTGTGCGTTGTCCTGATGAAGATCCCACAATTTGTGTCTTTTCTGATTGTTTTCACGAAATTTAGCAAGAATCTCGAGGTAGTAATGCTGATTAACAGTTTGACCTTCAGGAACTGAGTGAAGATACACAATCCCATGGATAACGAACTAAACAATCATCATTGCTTTGAATTTTGATTTGCCCATGTGAGTTTTTTTAGCTCTTCCAACGCATGGATTGACGATTAGTTTCTGGATCATAAGTGAAAAATCAAGATTCATAGCATGTTATCACTTTTTCCAAGAAGTTCGGGTCATTTTCAATGACATTTAAAATGTCACTACAAATATTTTCTCGAACTTCTTTTTGTTCGATTGTGAACATTTTCGGCACCACTTTCGCTCACATTTTTTTAATGTTCAAATTCTCGTGTATTTGCCTTACACATTCTTTGTCAATTCCTACAGTTTCAACAATAGACGAAGAGATAACCGACGGTCAGATCGGATCAGATTAGCAATGTTTTCAATATTTTTATCCATTTTTGACGTGAAAGAACTCCCGGACGTGCGTCATCTTCAACGCTTTCTCGACCATCTTGAAAACGCTTAAACGACTCAAAAACCCCGCGCAAGTGCTAATAATTAATTGCTATATACTTCTCTTCATAAAAGATACGTTTCAGTAACGGTTTTTCCAAGTTTCGTATGGAATTTCACAACAATTTGCTGCTCTATAACTTATCATTTTTCCGGCAGAACAAAAAATAGATCTTATACAAACTAAGTCCATGGCGAAACTAGTATGTTTGCAGACACGATAAAGGCGGGAATCGGAAGAGAAGGCTTCACACCACTCAGCTGTCGATCGTACGACTTTGACGCAGTTCGACTATAGTAGCATTAGTATCGTTATTTTATAGCCACACCCCATATACATATATTTTTAAGTTTTACTCTTTAACAATTGTTAAATACTCTATTTGAAAATTCTATTGACTTGTTGAAATTTCCTTTTAAAAATATAAATTAGTAGGTATCTATTTTATTGATTCGTAGCAGTATATTTGTATGTACAATATTAGATAAATTTAACAATTCATATAAAAAATATATACAGGATGTCTCATAATTAGCTGCCAACCCTGAACAGGCCGATTCTATTATCAAAACTAAGTAAAAAAGTTCATATGAACATGGGTCCGGAAATGCTTCCTAAGGGCACAGGGACCCATTGAAGAGGGAGGAATGGAAATCATTTTTTTGCAATATCTCTCAATCGCGTTGTGATAAATGAATGAAATTTGGTATACACAGCTAAATTTTGATGAGCAATTTGATGGACTAATCCATTTATTTCCACAAGGTCCATTGGGGTGGGTACGGGGGGGCCCTTGGTACTTTGCGTGTGTAACTTTTT